CACACACAGAGAGAGAGAGAGAGAGAGAGAGAGAGAGAGAGAGAGAGAGAGAGAGAGAGAGGGAGAGGGAGATTCTTTGGCTGAAATTGTTGTCCAGCAGAGACTGAGTGTTCAGCATAGAGCTGAGCAGCGACCAGTCAGCATAGCGGTTCAGACCAGCATAGGAATTTGTCTATACGATCTGTATTGCTCTCGTCTCATGCTTCAAGTCCTCATGCATCTAGATTCAAAACTCCCCTAACTTAGACCCACCAGTACTCACGAGGCACTTTCATACAGGGCTGGAAGGGCCCCTGCGCACGGAAAACAACGAATCGGCGAGGGCCTCCTTTTGGCTGGTGCTGCAAGCCATTTTGCTGTGGAGGCCGAGCCCTGAAAGTTGTGGGTGTGTGCATGCCACGACTTCAAAAAAATGGATGAGGGCAACGTACTGGTGGTGTAAGGGTGTTTCGGGCTACGAGGTGGTCATGGGGTATGTTTGCGGATGTAGTGGAGATTTGGGGGGGGGGGCGGAGAGTGGTGTTGGGTGTGGTGGTGTTATGGGGGATGTGGGGACAGGAGGTGGCTGTGATGGACCCCCTGTGGACTGTCATAATGGGAAGGGTCACGTCTCCTTTTTTTTCCTCCCTTTTCTTTCTGTTACGCATTTGAATCTTCTTGTGAGTTGTCTCCTTTTCTGTCAGACTCCGTAGCACGGCGAACGTGTTCGCGCCCCTTCACAGTCGCGCGAGAACGTGTTCGCGCCCCTTCACGTTCGCACGAACAGCTTGCGAACATGTTCGGGCGAACATATTTTTTTTTCATAAAAAAAAAATCATTTTTTCGGTTTTTGATTTTTAACTCATGATTGGCTACGAATTTGAACATGACAAGGCAAAAGTTGCTTGTATTGTCATTTTACATAACATTTTTTTTTTTTTCAGATTTTTCTGAGAACTTCTTTTCTTTTCTTTTTTTAAATATTTTTTATGTTCGCGTTCGGAGGTTTTTGGGCGCTTGTTCGCGTTCGGGCGAACATGTTCGCGTTCGCCTCCGAATGCAAACACTGCGCTACGTAGCTGTCAGATGGTTTTGCCACTTTGGAACCACCAGCGCTCAGCCTCCTAGTTTTTTTTTTTTTTTTTTTTTTTTTTGCCCGAGGCTTATATTACCAATCAGAGGTCTTTGAGGCCGGGGTCCTCACAGTCTAGCCGGAACATGACCAGATGAAGTCTGGGAGCATTACCCAGTTTTGCTTTTTACTAAATTTAGTAAGTTCTTACCTCCTAGTGTTTTGGGAGGGGCTCCACACAAGCTATATGGGCCTCGGTCCGCTACCCACGAAAAGTGCAAACTGAGAATGCATCTTCCGCTCCTGAGCATGGGAGGATCAGACCGCCATATTTTTTCAATTTAATTTTTTTTTTTTTGTCTTTTGTGCATGTGGTGGATTAGTGGAGGGAGGCCCCTATATCATGATTGGGTGATCGAACACCACATGAGTGATTTTCTTGCAGCCCATGTTGGCAGGATACGCCTGGATGTGATTTTGTTTTTTGTTTTTGAAGCGTCGTGTGCGGAAATTTGGTCGTCATGGTGGAAGACTGGATGGTGTCAGGAGGACATACGAGGGTTCGCAAGATACCTTCGGGAAGGTCTTCTTAGCACGCATCTACCTTCGGGAAGGTCTTCTTAGCACGCATCTACCTTCGGGAAGGTCT